TGAGATATTTGTGAAAAATTAACAGGTCGTACAGTAGATTGAAAACTTTAAAACGAAAGTGATTTTCCTTCTTTATCGCCTTATGGGACGTTTTTGTCAATTTTGTAGGCTGAAGACCCGATACCAGCCAATGGACAAGTAAGAAAAGTACAGTTGGAGATCAAAGATGATGAACTGCCGGAACCGGAAGAACAGATTTTGGTTTACTTGACAGATGCTACCGGAGGAGCCAGAGTTGCCACTGATTCCGACATCGGGCTCCAGGTAAACAAAAAATACACCGCTAGTCAAGTTTTGTTTAGTGATGAAGGCAATTTGACATGTATTTTGTTTGTGTTTAGTCTTGGGCCACAATCACTGTTGAAGGCAATGATTTGATGAACGGCGAGATAGGATTCGTGCCTGGATCTCAGTCAGCAACTGTGGATGAGGATGGACCAAGGAGATCAGCCACACTCAAAGTTCAAAGATCGAAAGCCACGTTCGGTGAAGTTCAGGTATGCAACTCTAAGTATTTGAAAAGAAAGGTGTAAACCTAGCCCTGTAACACTGACTGTTACCTGCACGGAGAGTTGCTCATATTTATGTTAAAAAAAAAAAAAACAGCTCCATTTCTTTTTCTCGCTGTCGTATTGTCCTCTTTTTTCCACGAATTCTCCGTTACTATTAACTCAACTTTAGTGGTTCATTCTCTCACTTTGAAGGATTTATGGATGGATGCTTTCCCTCTTCTTTTCTTCACATTTCAATTCCTTGGTTAACAGCCACCCTCCCAACTGATTAATCTCTTTGTTTCTTATATCTCTTTACTCTGCTATTCTTTGTCGGCTTTTTGTCGCAAAGGTCTCTTTCTGTCAACCTGGTTGTCTTCCGGATTCTCTTGTGGTAGGTAACGTCGCCTTTTCATATCTTTCTTGCTCTTGTTGAAATTCCATGACATTTCCACGACCTCATTCAAATTGTAACCAACTTTCAAACGGTTTCCGTCCATGGTATGATTGGAAAGATTACATAACGGGGTACACTGCCGAATTGGCGTCTTTTGCTGCAAATGTAAAACTCTGAAGATGAGCTAACACTCAAAACGTCAGTTGTAGAAACTCTCTTCGGTGGCCAATTTTCATTATCAACTCAGCTGATAAAACCGAACTCCCCACCGACACGGCATCACATTTTCTTGACAAACTTATCCCCTCCACTTTTTTCTTGTTGACTCTCCTTTTTTTACTTTTCTGTCTTCTAATAACTAGAGACAACCTTCTCTTGCAAAATGTTTAATGATGTGTTTGGCTATCCTTGTTTTGGCTGTTGTATAATTGCGCTCTGTTTTCAATTTTAATGGTCATTTTAAAAACAGTCATGTTTCTATTTTCCTTGGAAAAGCTGGAGGGATTATTTGTTAATTAGAAGTTAGGAGCCGATGGCTATATACCTAACTGGCACGACTTATGTTTGACTAACGAATTTTGATACTGGAGAGAGCATACTTATTTGCAATCGATATTTCTTGTGCCAAGGTTTCATGGAGTGTTCGTGAAAGCGAGTTTCGCGACCAGGTCGAAGCGTCTGAAGGAAGAGTTAAATTTGCTAGTGGCGCACAGCAGCAAGATCTTGTCGTCACTCTGAAAAACGATGCTGTGAGTATTCCTTAAATGTAAGATGTATTGATCAGTTGGCTGGCAGCTCCCCTCTCCCCACTCCCCCTCATGGTATTGCGTAAAGCTAACCTCAAGTCTATCGTGATGTTTTGACTAAAAAGCATTGCAAGAAATAATACTATCGCGAAGAGGTTTGGTTTAGACCACCCTTTCCTTGCTTCTAGTGTTGTCTATGGGTCTTTTTTTTTCTGGAATCATTTCGGACGAAATCTCGATTGCTTTCCAGATACCTGAGCGAGCCTCCAAATTTCATGTCGATTTAAACGGTATTGTGAGTGGCAGCCAAGCACGGATTAATCCTCAGTTCCGTTCTGCGGTTATCAATGTTCTGGAGAGTGACTACCCTAATGGAACCGTTGCCTTCCACAAGGACACCGTGTAAGTTATTCTCCCGGTTTATTAGTGGTTTATTCAAATATTAACATATCAGATGCGTTATCAAGTGATCCTATCGTAAGATTAAGTTTGACCAAGTTGATAGCACATCATAGTTTGATAATTTGCAGTTTGAGGAGGATAATACTCTGAATCGGTCCAGTATGGTTACGGATCATGTCATGATTGAAGTTCCTGTTTTTTTCTCTGTTTAGCTACACTACTGTCGACAAGTCTGCTACCGAAATCTCTCTTCAGGTTATCCGGGACCACGGGAAAGACAACGACGTCACGGTTTACTTTAAAACGCGCGATCTCCCTGATAGATTCACTTCAAAGCCAGGCCTGGAGACTTCTCAAGCGTTGGCTGGACAAGATTACGAGAAGCCTACTGCCACTTCCATTAGATTCGCAAAAGGAGAAGTAAGTTTGTTGGCTCTTTAAGTGTTTGAAAGCGACAATATTTTTTTAAACACTATAAGTCAGAGATTGGTAAGTAATGATGTTGTGCATGCTTGTGCCATGAATTTTCCTGGAAAAAGAACGTTGTCAGTCCCGAGCGCTTCTCGTGGGATCTGAGTTGTAAGATGACGAAGAAAGAGGATGTTTAAGTAAACACTTTCCTTTTCCCCTCAACCCAAATTGTTTTCTTTGACTTTTACAAGTGGCAATCGATTAAAGGTGGGAAGTGGGAGTCGAATGCGCAGGATCAGTTAACTATCACTCGACCCCCAGTAAGAAAGTGTTTTCATGTATTAGAGGCACAGGCAAATTCCTACTTAGAGAACTCGACTTTGCTAATATCATATTTTCGAGAGTAGGGGTGCAATGTCGCGACATTTTTTTAAGCGAAGAAGAATAGTTAACGAAGCATTAAATGTTTTTCTTCCAGACGTCGCAGCTTATCACAATCGCTTTAACTCCAAGAGAGGCTTCCCCCACAAAGTACCCAAAAGCCTTTGAGGTCGTTTTGCTGAACGCTACTGGAGGAGCAAAGTTAGTTGCTGTTTAGGAGTTTTCAAATACATAAATCTAGTTCTTTATAAATTTTCCGTCATAACATTCAAACAGCGAGTCATAATTGACACACTAAGCAGTTTAAGGTGGCTCTGTGGGATGCACCGGTCATCGTTTCTGGGTCTTGGTGTTTTCAAATGGTAATTATCTCCATTCTTCTTTTCAGGATCCTGAACGACAGTACATCCTTGGTGACGATTTCAGACGACAAAGAGACAACGACGTTCCTCAAATTGCGAGCATTAGCCATTCAGACTCCACTTTCTGATGACAAGATCGACGAGTAAGAATTTCCTTTGACTACCATAGGTGCTTACGTAAAGATCTAATTCATAGAGCAATTTTCAATCGAGCTTCGAAAGAAATGCGAGGTTGCATCGGTTTTAATTACTTCGCTCTTTGTTTGGTCCGGAAAACTCTCTCAACCAATCAGATAGTGAATTAGAACTAATCAGGAGTTGATTACCCGCGTTTTCCCGCGCTTTATTATACAGTTTGGTTGTGTTTACTTTGGGTTCTCAGTGGCTTTAATTTCTTCTGATTGACCGTTGTAATTACTTCGATTTTGGTTTTTACGACTCTCAGCCGAAAAGCGTTCCGAACAAAAAGATATTGATTGGGATGATTATTTTCCAGTAAAAAGAAAAACTTGAAATCTTTGAGCGCAATTCACCTGTCGGTAAAAGGTAATGACTTTACTAAAACTTTAGCGGAGGTTATCCAAAGAATTTTTTGCAGAGTTTTTTTGTCAGTCGAGTAACTTAAGTCTCGGACTGGACAGTTTCGATGCGATGGTAAAGTTAGGTCACCGTGTTTGGTCCAGTGGTTATATTAGTGTCATTAATAAGTCGTTTTTAGGGTGCCGGTGTTTATGACATCTGTTGAGAGAAGTTTGTTCTAAGCTTGATGACTAGTTCTCCAGAGGCGTCGAGAGTGGTTCGTGAAGTAGGCGAAACTTTGAGGAGTGCCCGAGGCAGTAGAGGAAATCTGGGGTAAACTGTGTGTGGCTCTACATGTCTTAACAACGGTCTCCTCTAAGAGGGGCTGTGCTATATACACACTTACATTTCTGCAAAAGTTAACTTTATGTATCTACTTGGTTGAAATTGCAGGATCTTCACGGATCTAAAATCGAACATACAGACAACACTGGATGAAGATAGACTTACTCTAACAATGGATACAATTAATATCATCTTGAGTGACAAGAAGAGCCAGGGCACAGCGTAAGTATAGAGGTTGAATCAGTTTTGACGTAATCTTTAAGGACTGAACAAGTAGCGGTAGATCTCGTTAAAGATCTGTACTCAGTTAGGTTCTCCTAGATGACTCACGTCTTACTTTATCCTTGATTGAAGTTTCTTAACTGTTTCGTTGGGATTAAAAGTTGGTACCAGGGAGTGAACTACTAATATAATTCCCTGGCTCGAGACTGAGAGGACACAAACAGTTAGTAATTGGCCAAGCACTTTAGTTCAAATTCCTTTACGTCTACAAAGCTTCTGCATTTTTATACATCGAAGGAAGTCTATTGGAAAACTTTTGGAGAATGTTTTATCTCTCTCAAACTGAAGATAACTAGAAGCATTGGTTGTAGAATAATTAGAATTTAAACGCTGGTCTTCCAGGTTGAGAGATTCGTCCAAACAGCTACTTATGGACATCTTTGATGAATTATTGAATCCCAGTCGAGACGACACAAGGTGAGAGAGAGTTCATTTCTAACCTAGTCATCCCAACACTTTGAGAGGAAGCAGCTGTTGAGTGACCTCCATATTTTCTGTGACATTTAAGCTTATTTCCATGGAGTATCGAAAGTACTCCGGTTTTACACAGGTCTTTCTTTGGTTCGCTCTGTGATTGGTTGTTTAAGAGAATTTCGCGCCACCCTCTCTATCAATCAGAGGCCGAAGCCAATCACCACTTTGCCACTAGCCTTTTTTTCGCGCGTTAAGCAGTTTGCAGCAGTTCTCATGTCCCCTGTGAATACTGGAATGGTATGAAAACTTGATTTTTCCCTAACTCATTAAATAGTAATAATAACTACTACTCAGGGGTGGGCTTTAGCAGCGCACGGTAGCTCCTGGCACCTTACTTTTGTTCTTGGGCAACTAAGGAATCCTATTTTTTTCGTAAACAGTACATACTGGGCACCCTGTATTTCACAATATCAAAGCACGGGGCTCCATTCAATTTTTCTTAGAGCACAGCCTTGGTATCCCTGAAATAAAGACAACAACAATAACTTATCTTACGGTTTTTTGAAGTTCGATGTGGCGTCCTTTGATTTTTCAGGGGTCAAGACAAACTCTCCACAGTTTTTGAAACGTTTGCATTTTCTTTGATGTATGCTTTGCCCTGCCCAGACGAGAACGGTGCATCTCTCCAGGGACAACGCGCTACAGTTAAAGGCTTTAGACGGTTGCCTTCTCAACTGAACGGGCTGAAAATTGTCGCCGGGTATGTCACTAACCCTCGAATGTATGGCAGAAGCTTGCATGTAACGTTGTCTTCTTAACCCTTTACATCCTAACATCAGTATGCATATTCTCTATACTGCCTGCTATACATTTCTTAAAGTGCTGACAAGGAGAATTTGTTTAACAATCAAGAGCTTCTTTAGTTGGTGATCATTTCCTTTATTCTCGTGACATTAATGTGTGATTCATAGTTGATATTGTGAGGAGAAATTAGACGCTAGCCATTCCAATGGGTTAAGGAAAACGAAAAGCTTCATTCTCTTAGAAAATAATTTTCGAGGTATCTCCAACCAATTTTAGCAGTCCATGTAGTAGATCCATTTTTACGGAACCCCTCGAAGGTACTGCTCTCAGATGCGGAGGCCTTGATAAAATATTGCATCTTAACAGTGCTCCCTCTCTCTCAATTCAGTAGTTAAATGAGTACCAGCAAACTGGAAAAACGTGATGAATTTTCTTAAGTAACTTTCCATGGTCCACCATGTAATCTAGGGGAGCGATACTCTTCATGTCAAACAAAATAGAAAGGGAACAGGAAAAAAATTCTTTTGTAATGCCTTATGATGGTAATTAGGGTATGTTTACGTAGATCATATATAAATATACCCTAATATATCCTTTTTAGGAGAGGAGAGGATTACTTCCAGTATCCGTCACGTATGTTTTCCTCTTCATCTTCTTCATCAAGCGAGGTTTGTGTTATTATTTGGTTTAGATCTGATTGATTGTTCTTATTTGAATTAGTTACCATATGGCCTCGACAGATCTGACATTTTTTTTTTCCTTTTTAGTGTAACGATGTTCATTTTATCGATTACCAAACTGCTCACTGGTTTAACAAACCTAACAAACCTCCTGTTATCAACGAAAAGGTAAGGATCTTCGTTTTTTGTCCTGAATCTCAGTATTCCCGAAATTTGCAGGGCATCTCTTTTGTCTCATTTGGTTTTACTTATACAATATGTACTGCCTGTATACACATCTTTGTGTGTTGTTTTTTCGACCTTGTACCACCTATCCTATCCACCGAACCATTGCTGTAGGCAAATGCAGCAGACTTAGCGACTCCTTTTGTTCACATAGATTGCGATTCTTCATCTATCAAACTTCAAAGAATGTCTTTGAGGGAGAAGCACTAAAACCTTTGCCATTTTGTTTTTGCGAAGTGACCTGCAATTGAGCTAACCGCCTCCCGGTTAGCTCAATTGGTATAGCGCTGGACTGTTGTCAGGGTCTTTAAATAACTGACAAGAAAGTGCTGCCTTAATAATAATATCTGCAAATGGTTAGACCTTCTAGTCTTCTCGGATAGGGACGATAAATGGAGGTCCCGTCTCACAAGCCCTTATATGTGATAAAAATTGTGGGACGTTAAAGAACCCACACACTCTTCGAAAAGAGTAGGGCACGTAGTGCCCGGTGTTGTGGTCTATCTTTGTGTAGTGTCTACTCTAGGGTGAATTGGGGAGGGAAGGTGAGATCAATACATGGACTGAAGTGGCTGCATATTGCGCCTGATGAATTCTGACGTCCGATCTCACCTTAACTGATTGTAAAGCGCGACTGATTATCTATATAGTAGTTTGCGCTCTATAAATGTTAAATTGTTGTTGTTGTTGTTGTTGCAAGTCAGAAGAGTGAGGGTCTAGTATTGATACTGTTGTTACTGAACTACTGGATTGCTCATTGGGCAAGGTTAAAGGTTGATCTACTTTGGCGCATTTTTCTTCTTCTTCCTTCCCTTCCTTTCTTCATTCGTTTCCTTCCCCTTCTTTTACTCCCCTTCTTTAATATTTTGAAGCTATACTGACAAAGGTTTGATATGTTTTCCAGGTGCTCTCCACTTCACTGAATGAGACTCCATCTATCAGCAGTCAAAACCCAGTTACATATCGCATTTACACCAACAAAAAGAGAGTGACTCCCAAAGGAGCCGAGTAAGTCCCAGCATTATTTGCGATCGCTGTTGTCTGAATCCTTCTGGACGAGGACGTTTGTGGAAATTATTACCCAAGTTACTGCAATTAACTTCTGCTTTAGATAAATTCATTCATTGTTGATGTAATTAAGTAGTAGCGACTGCTTTCCGTGTAATAATTTTCGCATGTCTTTTAGTAACGTCATACTATTATTATTCTTAAGAGGTAGCTTTCTTGTAGCTTGAAAACCCTTCTATGTACTATCCTTTCCCTTCTATAACGTGTTCATTTGCTGTCGACCGAAACTTTTTAATACTTGCCCTATACATTTATGTATTTATTGTTTTAGTTGTGTGTTTTGGGATCACTCCAAGTCAGCTTGGTCTACAGAAGGCTGCATTAAAAAGGTAACTATCTATGTACAAAATCATTTATATTTTGCATTCCTGTACGGCTATAGTTTAAATTTTGCGCATCATCTTTTGATGGAATATATTGGTTTTTGTTTCAGGGGATAGCGTCTCTTAAATTGAACAAGTAGAAACTTCTATTAAGAATCTGACATAGTTTGGCCTTTTATCTACCCTTAGAGTTTTCCAATAGCCCATTTGCGAATTACCCTACGCCTGATTTTCAAAACGAGTCCTGGTCCTCATCCTTTCATATGATAATAAGTTTCCATTCACATGCAAATTAAACTCATTTTCACAAGAATGGTTGAGTACGAGGACTCGTTTTGAAAATGAGGCCAAGGGGAATTTGCAAATGGGCTATTCCATAGTGAGGAATGGTCGTGTTCAATGATACTTATACTCTGAACCATTTTGACAAATGGTAGCAAGGGGCGAACTGTGTTTTGATCGTTGTTTCCTTCAACAGAACGACAAGGCTGAGTACGTAGAGTGCCAGTGTGATCACCTGTCAATCTTTGCAGCTCAAGGAGAGAGTGATGACAGGACGGGTTACAAGATTTATTTTTTCATCGTCTGCTTTGTCTGTATGGTATGTTATATATTTTATTTATGTGAAGGTTTCTCTGCTTTTGCACCTGCTTAGTTTTATTGATAAGGTTTCTTTGAAAGGAAGAACAGTTTAACTTTCTTACTGATATCTTCTCTTAAGAATATTTTCCACCTCGAAATTGTTAATTGTTAAGATGTTAAATCATTAAGAAATACATAGAAATCAAATTCCTTTAACACTGGTTGAGTTTGCTGAGTTACATCCGCGACATTTTGTGTTTCCCTAACAGGAAATTGAATTTGATTTCTCTTTTATTTCTTTTTATCAGGGAGCGTTTTTCGTGGCGTTGGTTGTCCACCACGCATGCTCTGTCGAGAACATGTTTGCTGCCAAGCTATTGATGCATTTGTTTTTCGCTTGTATGATGGCCCAGGTGAACAATTTGTTTGATACTTTTGCTACTTATGCAATATCAAGTGCATTTGTTAAAGAAAAATACAAGTTAAGTTAATGCAAGGCGTATTTAACCTTAACTCGAACGGCCTGGGGTCTGTGCGCTATCCAGGGTGACTGCGTTTTTGGTTTATTGCTGGTGTCAAAGATTTTTCCGATTAGCCCAAAAGTATCTGTGCTATGCCTTTTTCTCCGGTGTAAGGATGATGCTATAAAGCGTTGTTTCGCTTGATAGGCACCAGACCTCAACGTGTAAATGGAGCGTTAAGTTTCTAGTAGAAACGTGAGTTTGCAGTCGGGATTGGTGTTTTCAAGTATCGTTGAAGTTGGTGCGTTTTTTTATTGCGCTGTTATACAATGAATAGCTGGAAATGTACAAAATTTTAAAACGCACGTGCTGAGTTCTTTTTCTTTTCGTTAAGACTTTTTTGCCGCAATCTCGTTTCCATCGTCTTTGAGGTGCCCAAAAACTATTTCTGCATTTATTCGAATTAAACGGTAGTTTCTTGCTCTTTTTCAGTTGATGTATGTTCTGGGCGCGTATCTCAGCCCGGAATTAGTGGACGAGCCTACCCGCTGTTCTGTGCTGGCCGTGTTTATTCATTACTTCTTCCTTTGCCAGTTTTCTTTGATGTTTATAGAGGTAAAATAACTCTTAAAGTAAGACAGGAATATTCAGTCTATGTGTACTCGGTAACAGCTACACTAAGGTTGTGCACATACTTTTCCAAGTATTTCTGAAGTAGGAGTGGTCTTTATAAAATTCATAATGTTTGAAAATAGTTACTACGCAGTTTGCAAGAGAAGACTCCACCCAGGTCCTCTTGTAAAAGTTCATTTACCTTTCCGATAATCAATACATTGTGGTAAGCCTGTTTGGGTTGAAAGATTGAAATAGAATGTATGAACGTGGAAAGACAAAACTGATTACAAACTAGTTTGATTTCTGGGTTGCCCCCACTCCTTTGGCTTTTTAAAAACAGGTAACAATGTTTGTGAATGAGATACATGCAATGACGCTATGAAAATTTTTCTGCTTTAAGGGATGGAATCTATGGCGTGTCTTCGTTTTGAATGACGAGCACACCGACAGGAAACTGGTCATGTTCTGTGGTGTTGGATGGGGTAAGTGCTGATTCTGTTTAACCTTTTAACTTCGACGTCACATCATCCATAACTTACGTAAAGTACAAATAGTAATGAATTACCCGTTAATCTGTTTGTTTGTTGTTATCGAGTTTTGGTACACGCATATAAGAAATGTTTGATATCACTTTATTAGCATGTAGATTTTCTGTTGGTAGCTTAGCAAAGGAGTACAATCTAGCAATGCCTAGTACGTTATGATTGACGTGATTCGTCGTTTGTCTTTCGCAGGGATGCCTGTTGTGCTCATTGTGATATACATCCTTGTCACTCAACTTGGCCTCAATTGGGAGTTTACTGTAGCATATGCTGATGTTCACAGTAATGGAGACATGTAAGTATGGGATGTTTCCCCACACGGTTGCCTTTATTACTTGAGCGGCATTTTTTTCTCTTTTCGCCAACTGTCAAAGATTATTCAAATTCTGATCAGTTAACAACTGAAATGGTGGTTCCTTTTATCAATTTACACTGTAGTGAACTTTTGAGGCAGGGCGTGTGTTTTGTTTTTTTAATTTCGTATTGATCTTATGTGGTACTGCTATCAACTTCATGAGTAGCACATCTCATTTAAAGCTGTTAGAGACAACATCGCAGCCTGCAATATTTGCCCAAAAATAGGAGTAGCTTACAAATGGCGAGTATTGATATAGAGAAAGAGCTCATCTTGACTGGTTCCGAGGACGGAACAGATAAACGGAAATTCAAAACGTTCTCCGGTCTAAAAATTACCTGGAAAACGTTAGCCTCCGGCATTGATTTAAACCGCTTGGTTATTTTTCTGTTTTTTGAAAGTGTAATTTATATTAACTCTTACAAATCACTTTTCACCAGGTGTTTTATACCAAACGCATACGCTGCCCTTGCCAGTGTGGTCGGCCCAGTACTACTGCTGCTGACGGGCGTGGCCTTAATCTTCACCCAGGCATACCTGGTCACTCCACAATGGAAACACTACGATGACATATTCCGTGGGCACTATAACATAAAGGGTACTTAATATGTTGTTTTTTCCTCAAAAATTTAGTTCACTTAAAAGCAATTTTAAATCGAAAGGCAAAAATCACCAGGAATTGACGTGGCTCTACTTTTCATAACTTTGGGGTTATTCGAGAATATTCGCACCTCCCTTTTGATCAACCAGAAGCAAAACTAAAACCATTCGCAACCTGTCATGCTTTCTCTCCCAGATTTTAGAGTTCTTAATTCTAAGTTCTCGTTGCTTCACTGGGTTTCTTCAGTTCTGATTAGCCTTTTGAGATACTTTGATTTAGAAATGCGGTCCAGTAGTCTGTGAATAACATTTGCATAGCAGGAAAAATAAAGGCAAAAAGATCAAAATGGGGATACATGAAGAAGCTTGTGAACTTCGAAAAAGAGTAGAAACAGCTTTCTCTTCCAGCTCCAGCCCTTGGTAAAGTCTAGGTTCTATTTTCAATTTTTAATTGTAAACATGTTTTAAACTTATTTTGTTTGTACTTTCGTTTAGAAATCCGCTGGGTGATTGGACTCTTTATTCTGATCACGTTGGCGTGGTTGTTTGCTGGGTTTCATTTGGCCTATGGCTAGGATTGGCTACTTATTTTGTTTGTGATCACTGACGGAATATTGGTAAGGATCTCCGCCTTACCCTAGGTGTAGTTTTTGCGTTAGTACTGGAAATAGTGACCCTAAGTAAACCACCACGACGAGGACGTGGAAAAACAAAATACATAATGAGCAGAATAATAGCTCAGCACGTTCATTTCAAAACTTCGTATATTTCTTAGCCTTCATCTGCAAAACAGCAACGATGTATGACCAAATTTTTTTTTTCTGAGAACGGAAACCTCGAGGGCATATTATTTAGGTTTTTAGTTTGAGCTCAACGCTGCTCACAAGTAAAGATGTAGCGCCGTACCAGGCGGTAAGCACGTCTAGCCATTTGCAAAATTGTGTAACCGAAAATATAAATTAATTTTTTTGATGGACGTCTTCCTCGGCGTTGCCTTCCTGACCGCTTAAAGTCTTTAATAAGGCATAAAGAAAAGTGAGACTTTCTTTACTTAAAGATTGAAAAAATTGCTTTGCTACAGTTTGTCAAATTAAGTTTTCGCGATAGTTCATAGCTGTGCTTTTCAGCCATTGTTTGATCATTACAGGCATTGTACGTTTTAATCTGGTACTGCTTGATGAGGAATCAGTTACGCGGTGTATTCAAGCGGTCGTTTGCGTTCCCATCCATGTCTCCGCCAATCGAATTACGTGAAGACCTGTTCAGAGACAGCCCTGGAAGCCCTCAACAATCCATAGCCAGCCTCAAAAGATCCGGGATGAGGAATTCCCCGGATGAACCGGTAAGAGTTTGCAAAGTTTTTTTTTATCGGACCACATACGCATTTCGATGGTTCAAGTAATTTTGGCAACGTAGTGATCGACTTAACTGAATAATAAACATCTAGAAAATTTAAAAGAAAATCTGGATATGAAAGGCATGTAGATATCATTAACTACAAGACTCGTAAACACCTTAAACTTCTGGTTATAAATATTTTGCAAGCTTAGTAACATTGATTATCGTCTGAATGTTACCGTATTACTAATCACACTTGTGCCCCCTCTCTTCCAAAGGCACTTTGCCAAACTTTAACCCTTAGCGTTACTTTCTTCACTAAAGCCTTAAAATAGTATTAGGATTCCAGCAAGCCTAGTGATTGATTGGCATGGAATGCGGGGATCGAATATCTACACGTAGTCAATCAGCTCGAGTCTTCGATTTAAAAAGTGAAGAAAGGACGGCTCCCGACCTTTTTGAATTTTGTCTATACTTCGTGTTTTTCACGGCATGCACTAAGATTGTACGATTTAGATGAGGGTTTTAAAAGTAGTTTAAGAATAAGCGATGTTTAGATAGTTGCATGTCAATAACAATTACAATTTTTATTTGTTTCTCTCTCTTTAATCGAGTCAGGTTTATTTGACGAGAATTGAAAGACGAAGCGGATCCGTTGTTGGATATCCGATTGCAAGAGTTGTTGTTAGTTTTGACCACATAACTTTTTTTCTCTTTTTTAAGACCAAGGACCTTATTCAAAAGGCCGCATTTTGCTACCTCTAATATGACAGATTCATGATTAAAAATTTGAACTAAAATAGAGGTAAAATTCATAGAGAAGTGAAAGATATGTGCTCATCTTAATTTTTCCTAAACATAAAAACATTTAGAGTTAGAAATAAAAGAAGTTGATTATATGCGCTCCTTTCTTTACTGAATTCAAAGTTTGCAATGAAGAAAATAAATTTTGCAGCTTTTCACTAAACTACATCATTATTTCTAGTTTTTCTTCTTACGCGAAAATGTTCTCCGGGAAGATAACGTGTGTTGCAATAAAATGAAAGGTAGCGAATTCGCGTTTGAAAAAGGTCTACTTCAACAACCATTAAATAATTAAAAAATTCAAATTAATTAAATAAAAGTTTGTCCAAAAAGGCACTTTTGGACCTACATCTTGTGACATCTAAAATCCTAAATACTAACGATAAAGGTAATGATTTAATCCAACGCATTATATCCAGTGTGACTACAACATTCTATCTCTCTAAGGATTAATGGCTTCCCTTTGTTTGTTTATTTTGCTGTTATAGAAGTTAACCTTAAAGGATTTTGATATATATTCAAGAATTAATCTGTTAAATATTTATCATTGATTTTCTTTTCACGTAATGTTTTTAAAATATTTGTAAAAGTATTGTGTTAATGTTACAACAGCTACATTACTTTCATCCTTTTGACAGGAGCAGTGTTTCCTTTTACTACAATATTTCTGCTAAACAATTTTGTTTGGTCCCTTGTCCTTCTGGTGTGAAAGAAATCTGTCATTCTCATGTTCTCTCATTGCGCTGATACAACCCCCCGTGTCCATTTCGTGGCTAAACTCGTTTTATTTACTTTTTTTTAATCGCAGGCTGACTGGGACGACCTAGATTATGGAGCCACTCCAAAGGGAAGCCGCAAAATGTTCGTCAACCTGGACGACACCGAAAGCTTGGGCCGAGTTAACGAGATGTACGAAGACGACGATGATACCCAGGACTTTGACGATCTGATTTTTGCGTTGAAGACTGGGGGCCACTTTGAACCAACACTGGACGAAGAAAAGGACCTGGATTTGGGTGACCAAGGAGATGAACAATATGCAATGAGAAGAATCTCTATCGCTGATACACATTTATAACAAACATTCTAGTGTGAACATTTTTTTATTTTATTTACTCCTAATGTATAAACAGAAGTTTGATATTTGTACAGAAGATGTGCCAAACTATTATTATAACTGCCATGCAATAATGAATTACCAGATAAATTAATGAGATGGGTACAGTTTTGTACATCTAAAAACAATTTGCCATAATCTTTCAAAATTGGTCCTTGGGAATTTATCAAGCCAGAAATTTGTTCTTTCCCTTTCATCGAAGGTAATTTACATAGAATTGAAACAAAATGTTTTGACGTAAATGTCTTGGAAGAATTGAAACAAAGCCTAAGATCGGAAAGCACAATAAAGCTGCTCTGTTACTTTGTTCACCGCGTCAAGATGATATCACGTGAGTGTGCATTGTGATGGAACCTCAACTGTTCAAAGAATTACGAGATATCTAAAAAGAATTTTTAGATAGCTGAAAATTTTATATCAGGATGTTTTAACTTTACATACGTTTAGTTATGTTTGGGTCGTGCTCATACATATATTTTCGTTTCTAGATTTTGTAACCCTTTTTTTTTTAATTTGAAAGACACTAACTGGTGTCTATTCTTGTTTTCGATTTTATAGAAAAAACTGAAATTAAAACGATAAATATAAAATTTTGTTTAACAAAATTAATTGCGTGTGAAAGTAGTTCTTCGAAATTGTATTTTTAAGTCTACATCGTTGAAACGGATTTGTTAAATACGAGAAATATGAAAATCCCTTTATTTAATAAGCTGTTTATTGCAAGCCTGGAAATCTTAAGAAACCTTTGATTAGTCTAGCATGGATTAACTGTACACTGTAATTTTGCTTAACATGGTGTGAATATGGAATAATAAATGAAATAAGTGTATTTTAGCTGTGTAAGAATTGTTAAGCTTCTCGTAAATGTCTGCCCTATGTTGCTTTTTTCAGTTTTTATTTAGAAGTATTTCTCTGTTTTCCTTTTCCTGGTCCCCACTCGGAGGCACCTTACAGGAGTGCAGTTTGCTATACCTTTGAGTACACAATAACGGATTTCGCTTTCAATAATATGTCATAAGGTTGACTCCAAAAACAGGTTTTTATGTTCTCATACTCGTATCTTGCCAAAGTAACTACCGAGAGTCCATATCTTGCTCCTTTCGTTTCGTTAGATAAGGTAAAGGTAAAGTCTGTTTACGAGCCTAGTGGTCCATTAGGCCGGTGCTTAACTCCGGTTTCTGTAGCATGAAGCGACTAGGAGTATTTCTACTCCCCCCTGGATGGGATGCCAGTCCATCGCAGGATTGCCCCCAGCATTAAATTGCCGGTACCCATTTATACACCTGGGTGAAGAGAGGCACTGTGAGAGTAAAGTGTCTTGCCTGAGAACACAACACAATGTCCCGGCCGGGGTACGAACCCGGACCACTCGATCCGGAGTCGAGCGCAGTAACCATGAGGTCACCGCGCCTCCACTTTGTTAGATAAGACCTTTCTCCAATTCATAATAGCCCATGTCCGAATTACCCTTGGCCTCATTTTCAAAACGAATCCTGGTGCTCATCCTTTCATATGATTATAAGTTTTCATTCACATGCAAATTAAACTCATTTTCACGAGAATGGTTGAGCACCAGGCCTCGTTTTGAAAAAGACGCCAAAAGTAATTCGCAAATATAATTGCCTATTATTCTCGCTAGGCCGATTTATTTTTAGAAGTAGTATTTTTTAGAAGCGATTTTCCGTCTTACCCTCGCCTCTATGCAAAACAATTTCTAAACGAAATGCATTTTACAAACGCGAGGGAACACTCACAAGAAATGACTTTGAAGACATCGTTGAAACCTCCCTACGCAGATCGATAGGGTCTAAAAGTACTTACGAGTGACCACGAGTGACTACGAGTGACCACGAGTGAGATTATATCAAAATATCTCAGTTTTCTTTCTGTGACGTCATTGCGGAATTATTTTCACTTAATTTCATGAAAAACATGAAAAACATGAAAAACAGATGCGATAATATTTAAAAACTTGCAGTGTGGACTATACATTACAGATTGCACGGTTACGATAGGTTGAAAAAACAAAAACGATTTTAAGAATAGTCATAACTATCACATGACCATTTTATTTGGCTCTATTTTAACAACCCAATGATGTCAATGATCAACCCTTCACTATGGAAAATCCCATTCAACTTTCAAATGTACTGCCGACGAGAGGTCTGGACAAGTACTTCACTGGGTTTTGCGTCGTAAACTCACTACTTCTAGCATCAAAGTAATAGTCTGGCTATTTTATTAGCTTATATATCGCTTGGGTCGTGAACAGTTCTTATGAATATATGTTTATCATGACAACTTTTTTATTACACCTAACGTCTCCGTATGATTCCAAAAATAGTATACAACAATAACCGTGGGAACTAGGCAGCTAGACACTATGGGGGGGCATTATGGGCGTTTCCGCGTCCTTTAGAATGAGTTTGCGCGTTTCTTGTCAAGTTCGGTCATGGCTGACTGATTAAACAAGAAGCCTAAAGGCTTCTCGCGCCCTGAAGTTGTATTTTTGTTACGGTCGAGTAGAGGAGGAGTAGATTACAGTGGCAGATCGTTGGTTGCGTTGTGTCTCAAAGGAAATATTCAAATCAAACGCTTAGCGTGTTTTCAAAAAGTTAAATAACACGGTGATATAATAAAATATACGTTTTGCGGTAGTTAAGGTTTTTTAAATATATTTTTTGGAATTTTTTTCAATTATCGGACCTATGCCGCGGAAAATATTAGTCTCCTCTCTAATTGGTATTTGATGAAATGATGTGAATTTGACTGCGTAATGACGTCATAGTAACAAAACTGAGATATTTTGACTTAATCTTACTCATGGTCACTCGCGGTCACTCGTGGTCACTCGTAAGTATTTTCAGACCCTATCTACGCAGATCTAGCACAACCTCTTTTATCGCGGGGGTTGAATTTGCACGTGGGAATTTGTCAACTCATTTGCATTTTGTTTTTCGTGGTCTGATGTAAGTATGTCTAACGAGCAATGATGACTGGAACGGCTTCAGTATTTACTTGAGTTTGAAGACTTGACAGCATGCCACCAGTCACAACAGAGAGAACCATGTGGATTTGAGTCGTAATTGCAAGTAAGTTGTAGAGTATATGTAACGCACTTCGTGAAGTTTAGAGAATCTTCAATTAATAGACTGGTGTTTACAACTTGTGTTTTAGAAAAGAAGCAATGGCTTTATCGCCCTTAGGCTGGGAGGACATTTCATACCTGTTCTGTTGCTTTTTTCTCCGCAAAGAGATGTTGAGAACGTATTTATCCGCAGCAAAATGCTCTGGCTTTGTACTTGTGAGGTCGATGGACCTCTTGTCCAAGTAAACTGAAACGATCATTGACAGAAGCAGTTAATTACCACATCACAAACGTATACCCACCATAGTGAGACATAGCCGTACTCTGAAACCACAAAGCAGACGTGGAAAAAAAACTTGCTTCCGCTGCTGTCCCTTCGCATCCTCATCTGCTCTAAATGTGACCTTCATAACAGACGCGCAAGGGTTTCGGATCGGCATAATGTGAGTGAAAAGTAGATATTTCATGCGCGAGTTACTCGCATTCTCGCAGAGCGCCTTCCACACGCAGACCATCCAAGAAAGACAAGAAACTGTTCCTGCACGTTTTCTTTTCGAGTGGCTTATTAAATAATTGCGTGCTATTTCCGGTCCGGTTGTTTGAATTGCTGATATTGATCATTAATCAGCTCTAATCCGCCAAGCAAAACAAAATTATCATGAGGAAAGAGCTTCGTTACAGTATAGACGACTGGAAAGTCAAAGCTAAAGGTTGCTCCTAATATTCCAGGCATTTTATGAAGTCCTTCTGATCCACAAGTAATTAAATCCTTCCGATTAATTTGACACGTGACAATTTTCTTTCCTTTAGCCGCATTATTTAATCTGGGGGGGAGGGGGTAGGGTAGTGGGAAGGAGGGAGGGTGGGCTAGAGAAGGATCGTTTCCAGACATTCCATCACTCGTTGTTCTAATTTGGTAAAGCTTTTCGGCAATGTAATATTCACGAATTGGTAAAATTCATGCGATGATTAAGCTTGAATGTTAAACATGGTTATGCTATTTGTAGGTGCAGAGAGAGAATACGTTAATGTACTGTTGTGGTTTTCTTGAGAACCTTATTCGATTTACATCACAAAGTGTGTACTCGCCCCCCCCTTCCACGCCCTTCCGAGAGCATACCAAATGGCGAGAATTTAAATTATGAACAAGGTAGCTCAGTTGGCGGTTTAACCTAAACCGGAACAAAGCTGAGAACCCCCGCGGCGTTTAGCGTTCTCGATTTGACTGCGAGCGACTCAATTTGTGTTTTGCGTAGACGTGTTTACCACGCACACGAAACGTTCAGCCTCTTTTCATGGTTTGACTAGACTAGCTAGTAGAATATAAACAGTGCTCACCCAAACGAGATACCCCGTCTATGTAACCCCGAGACACGGCGATGAAAGAAGAGGTTGCCGACAAATAAGCTCATTCGACCTGAGACAATTAAGCGTGGCTTAGGTAGCGTATTTCGTGATTTAAATGAAAGGTTCCCTCCTGTTGGGGATTGTGCGGCATGAAAGCATGGATCTCACTTTATTCATTCGTTTTGGCATTTTTACCTTGTATTGTTTGGGGCTCACTTCAGCAGAAGCAGTGTTTCGCGACCGACAGCAAGGTGGGTTTCATGTTGTTATTATATTTTCTTTGATCGTCACGGATTTGTTTACCCCGATAACCTTTCGTGACTAGAGATTTGCAGACTGATGAACTCATTCAGTGTATCAATTTTTTCTGCAGAACAACTTGCGAGGAGGTTACAAGAATATGAAGTCATCATTCCCGAAATCATTTCTAGAACTGGTTCGTTAAAGTGTACCTAAACCCCAAAATTTTTTTTCGCTTAACGAAATAAGTGTATTTTTTGGAGTATTTCTGTGCAAACATTTTTTTATTTGCTCAAATCTTCAATTGTCTGTGCCCAGTCAAAATACGGAAAATCGGCCGCCATCTTGCCCCACGGCCGAGTTTAAAGAGGAATGGCTCTAGCGGGTAATGTGACGTCAAATCGAGAACACGAAAGTCTGCATTTCACACATTTTCGCTTGTTT